AAGCAAAAAGGAACTAGACTTGATGATTTGGGATATTTGGGGGCTATCAAGATTACAAAAGATGCTATAATTAGTTTCACTGTAGGAAAGTATGTTCTTGAGAGAAAGTCAAGGGTGTGGATAGATGCTTTATATATGAATATTTTTCTAGGTTTTTAGGTGTTTAGCAAGATGAACAGGGTAGAATGCACCTTACTAAATTTTTTAGCTGGAAGTCTCAGTCTTTGGTGTTAACTTGATTGTTTAGTTTATTTACATTTAATGCAATTACTGATACATTTGAATTTATATCCAGTTTTATTAGTTTCATATTTGAACTGTCTGTTTAATACTATTTTTCCACTCTTTTCTTGACTTTCTTTTAGATTAGTCAAAGTTTTAATTTTTATTCTGTTAACTTGTTTGTGATGCATTCTTTTATTTGTTTCCCTAGATATTATAATATCCATCTTTAACTCATTATTATCTTACCCCCTTCTTAATAGATGCTAAAACATCTTAATTCCATTTACTGCTTCTCATTTTTACATTATGCATTTGAATTCTACATATGTTTTAAACTTCACAAGATATTATTATTACTGTTTTTGCATAGTCAGTATTTACAGTTTCATAAAGTGGGATTTGAGAAACTTTCTGAGTCTTTGAGTTGATGTCATTCACCTTTCCTTTTCAAATTTTGCTTCTGCCTCATATTCTTCCCCTTTATTGTCTCAGACAACAGTATGTTTTTCCTTTCCAAGGTGTCGTACATGTGATACATCACGTGCTCTTGTGCTTATTTTTATTTAAAAAACCTCTGTGGTTCAGTTTGGATGTCTTCTGTTTGCTAGTCTTCCATTTCAGTAATTCTGTTATTCTGCTATTAAACCCCTCTCAGTTCTTAATTTTAGATACTGAATTTTTCAATTTTCATTATTTTTTTAGTATAAGTTCCATTTCTCTGATGAAATTCTCCACCTTTTCATCTAACTCCAAAATCCTGTAAGACTGTTTCTATTGAATTTTTTTCCCTCTGGTTTTAGATAGTTTGTTCTGTTTTTTTGATAGGCATTTCTTTCATTGTATCAAAACACATAAAAAGCATTGTCAAGGATCTAGATTATGGTATCTTTCTCAGTTATTTAACTTATATGTAGAGTACATCATAAGAAATGCTGGGCTACATCAGCAGACGAATGGATGAGGAAGCTGTGGTACATATACACCGTGGAATATTACTCAGCCATTAAAAAGAATTCATTTGAATCAGTTCTAATGAGATGGATGAAACTGGAGCCCATTATACAGAGCGAAGTAAGCCAGAAAGATAAAGACCATTACAGTATACTAACACATATATATGGAATTTAGAAAGATGGTAACGATAACCCTATGTGCAAAACAGAAAAAGAGACTCCGATGTATAGAACAGACTTGTGGACTCTGGGAGAAGGCGAGGGTGGGATGTTTCAAGAGAACAGCATCGAAACACGTATATTATCTAGGGTGAAACAGATCACCAGCCCAGGTTGGGTGCATGAGACAAGTGCTCGGGCCTGGTGCACTGGGAAGACCCAGAGGGATCGGGTGGAGAGGGAGGTGGGAGGGGGGACCGGGATGGGGAATACATGTAAATCCATGGCTAATTCATTTCAATGTATGACAAAACCCACTACAATGATGTAAAGTAATTAGCCTCCAACTAATAAAAATAAATGAAAAAAAAAAAAAAAAGAAATGCTGGGCTGGATGAAGCTCAAGCTGGAATCAAGATTACTGGGAGAAATATCAATAACCTCAGATATGCAGATGACACCACCCTAATGGCAGAAAGCAAAGAGGAACTGAAGAGCCTCTTGATGAAGGTGAAAGAGGAGAGTGAAAAAGCTGGGTTAAAACTCAACATTCAAAAAACTAAGATCATGGCATGTGGTTCCATCACTTCGTGGCAAATATATGAGAAAAAATGGATACAGTGACAGATTTTATTTCTTGGGCTCCAAAATCACTGCAGATGGTGACTGAAACCTTGAAATTAAAAGCCACTTGCTCCTTGGGAGGAAAGCTATAACAGACCTAGACAGTGTGTTAAAAAGCAGAGACATTATTTTGCCAACAAAGGTCCAAATAGTCAAAGTGGTGATTCTTCCATTAGTCACATATGGATGTAAAAGTTGGACCATAAAGAAGGCTGAGCACCAAAGAATGTTGCTTTTGAGTGATGGTGGTGGTACAGAAGACTCTTGAGAGTCCCTTGCACTGCAAGGAGATCAAACCAGTCAATCTTAAAGGAAATCAATCCTGAATATTCATTGGGAAAGATTGAGGGCAGGAGGAGAAGGGAACCACAGAGGATGAGATGGTTGGATGGCATCATTGACTCAATGAACATGAGTTTGAGCAATACTCCAGGAGATAGCAAAGGACAGGGAAGCCTAGTTTGCTGCAGTCCATAGGGTCACAAAGGGTAAGACACGACTTAGTGACTGAACAATAACAAACTTTCTCAGGAGAGGATTCTTGTTTCCCTTAGTAGATAGATAGCAACACCTTTGTCTAGTCAGGCACAGTGTTGTGTTGAATCAGGACCAAGTTGAAGCCCTGATAATAGTCTACCTCTGGTTCACTCTGACCATCCAGGATTTTCAGCTGAAAGCCCAGTTTGCCCTCTCTGGACCCTCCTCTTGATAGGTGCCAACAGTGGTTTCTTACCAGACTACTAACATTTTGCCTTGCTTTTCAGAGGCTATCTGCTTAAGTGTTTATTCTTCTGCTCACACAGCCCTAGAATTTGGCAGACGTCTTAGGGGAAAAACTGTCCATGTGTTTGAATTCTGGTTTCTCTATCACCCAACTTTAGCCTTCTACTGGTTCAAAGCCTGGGTTTTCACCTTTTACCACACCCAGAATTACCTAGTGTAAAAGTGGTTACGTACATCAACTCAAACCTTAAATGTTGTCTATAGAGTCTTAGCACCTAACTGCTTCCAGTATTTTCAAATAGATAGTTTCAGTATTTCATCTGGCATGTATAGTTATTCCTGGAAGAAACCCTGGACTGTCACAAACTCTTGTATGCCATCTGGATATGACAGTGCCTCAAAAGGGTCACCTAAACATATCATATGTAATGTCCATTTAAAGTGTACATTCAGTCATTTTTAGTATATTCATGGAGTTGTGCAATCTTTATACAGTTTTAGAATACTTTCTTTCCTCCCCTATCCAAAGTCATACCTTTTAGCTCTTGCTACCTCCCTCCCCACCACATCCTTTCATTACCCCATTCCTGGGCAACCAGCAATCTTCTTTCTGTTCTAATAGGTTTGTCTGTCCTGGATATCTCATGTAAATGGAATCATATAATATGTGGTCTTTTGTGATTGGCTTATTTCACTTAGCATAATATTTTCAAAATTCATTCACGGTGTAGCATAAATCAGTATCTCATTCCTCTCTATGGCTGAATAATCTCTTTTATGAAAATACCACATTTTGAAATTCATCATTAGTTGATACCCTGGATTGTTTCTGTTTTTGACTATTAGGAATAATGCTACTATGAACATTTCTATATAAGTTTTATGTGAATGAATGTTTTGATTTCTCTTGGGTATATACCAAGAAGTGGAACCATTAGCTCATATTACTCCTTTTGAGGAAGTGCCAGACTGTTTTATATTCCCACCTTTATTATATGAGGGTTCCAATTTCTCCACTTCCCCACTGGTACTTAATATTATGTGTCCTTTTGTTTTTTATTATTATAGCCATCCTAATAGGTGCATTTTCCTGATGACTAATAACTAATGATTGGAACATTTTTTAAATTTCAGAATTCAAGATTTAGTTTCATTTATTATTTTGCTACAAAAATAATAAAAATACAAATACACACAAGCAGAGCATTTTTTATTTTATAATCATCTTAGTGAATTTGAAGGGGTATTTCTTTGAATTTTGATATCCCTTTTGACTATATTGACCTGTATTGAGAACCTTTTGTGCTTTTTGGCCATCTGTGTATCTTCCTTGGAGATATGTATATTCTTCTTGGTCCATTTATTTGTTTATTTGACTGTGCCAGGTCTTAGCTGTGGCCTGAGGGATGTTTGAGTTTTGTAGCAGAATCCAGGATCTTTTGTTACAGATGTGGAATCTAGCTCCCTGACCAGGGATCGAACCCAGGCCCCCTGCATTGGGAGCATGGAGTTTTAGCCACTGGACCATCAGGGAAGTACCCTTGGTCCATTTTTAATTGCATCACCTATCTTTTTATTGAGTTGTAAGAGTTCTTTATATATTCTTTACATAAGTCCTTTATCAGATGTATAATTGCAGACATTTCCCCCTAGTCTTTGAGTTGTTTTTACTTTCTTTTCTAAGTAAACATTTACTTTTTGTTTGTTCTGGTTTTTTTGTTGTTGTTGTTATTTTTGTTTGTTTATTTTTCATTTTTGGCCATTGGGTATAGCATGGGGATCTTAGTTCCCCTACCAGGCGTTGAACCCGTGCCCCCTGAAGTGGTGGTGCAAAGACCTAATACTGGATTGCCAGCAAATTCCCTTATCTTTCACTTTCTTAATGGTATCCTTTTTAGCACAAAGTTTTAAATTTTGATAAAGTCCAATTTATCTATTTTTCCTTTGGTTTCTTGTGCTTCTGATTTTATATCTGAAAAATCATTGCTTTTCTAAGTGAAGTGTTAATGAAATATGGCATAGAATGGAAAAGAATGCAGAAATCAGGTTTGCAGCTTGATGAGTTTTCAGTTTATTCTTTTGTAACCAGCACACAGATAAAAACAAAACCCCAGAATATTATTAGAGCCACAGAAAGAATGACCTGATACTTTTAATATTTATTTTTCCCTTGAAATAATAATGTCAAATATAGGTATCTAGTGAGAATCTTATATGTTGTATCATGTTAAAAATTGTTAAAAATAAGTTCATAAATATCTTACTCTTATCCTACCATCCTGATGCTTTTCATTGAATAAACACGTGTTTTTTCAGGGATCAGTGTCTTTCAAAGATATATCTGTAGACTTCAGCAGGGAGGAGTGGCAACAATTGGACCTTGCTCAGAAAAGTCTGTACAGGGATGTAATGCTGGAAAACTATTTCAACTTGATCTCAGTGGGTAAGCACAGCTCTGCTGGGTAAGGCTGTACCTAATTGAGTGTATTTTTTTTTTCCTCAGTGGAATTTATGAAATCTGGTGTTGCTAAGGTATGTGGGACTTCTAAAGACTGTAGGACATCTGAAGTGTGTAATAGTTTTGTCCTTATTTTGTTCTATGTTCTTAACAATCTATTTTGGACATTAAGAATATACTTCTGTTCCCCATGAACTTTTATGAAAAGTAAATGGAGGGCTTTGTTGTTTCCTATCATCAGGATGTCAAGTTCCCAAACCAGAAGTCATTTTCAACTTGGAGTGGGGAGAAGAACCATTTATGTGGAATGACAAAACCTCAAGCCAGAGCTGTCTAGGTGAGTAGGAACCAAAATCATAGGAGATTGTATAACCAAATCACAGTTTTACTGGCAGAGTTTGGCAACTTTGAAGTGCTTTTAATATGGTATTTCTCTGACATTCTGAACTTTTGAAACTGCATAGATAGAGTTGATATTGGTCTCTTTAAGACATCTAAATGCCATTCCCACTTAAGGCCCCTTCCAATGTCAGTGTCTTCTTTGCTTTACTCTTTAAGAGGGATATGCTAGAGTTACTGGTACATTGGCTGTAGGATCCTTTTTCTTTTGTTTTGCTTTTTCTCCCTTTTCATAGCATTAAAAAAATTTTTTTTTTAAATCTCTGTCAATGTCTTAAATCCTTTCCTTACACATTCAGGTACTCATAAAATTGCCTTTAAAAAATTATTTTGGGTCACTCACCTGCTTATTTCTCTTCATTTTCTTTCTTTTCCCTTAAGGTGCTTCAGAATTATCATCTAGAGATGGCCATATTATATCATCTCCCATGCCTCTCCCTCAACTGTTGGCTTTGAGATTTCCATTACTTACATTTGGGGATAGCTTCTTATTTTAACCCTTTTATAATTTTTTGGGGGCCACACCCTGCAGCATGAGGGATCTTAGTTCCTCCAGCCAGGGATTGAACCGTCATGTCCTGCAGTGGAAACTGAGTCCTAACCAGTGAATAGCCAGGGAATCCCCTATTTTAAATTTTTTTGAAAGTTTTATTTTATTTTTTTAATTTATCCCTTTTAATCCTCACTCCCTACTCATTTTTATCCTTCCCAGAGGCAGTTGCCCTACTGTATTTTATATGTTTGCTTGCAATTTATTCTTGAATTTGTCGGGTATTTGTAAAATTTAAATTGTTGGTCATTTTAATTTCTAAAAATGGTACTGTGCTATATATCCTACTTAGTTTATTTTTTCCTCTCAGCACTAAATTGGTTCATGTTACACTGTTTTTCTAGCTCATTGCTTCTAATTGAGGCATACATTCCATAGTGTATATATATATATGCCACATTTACTTGTCCAGCTTTCTAGCTACTATAGCTAGTACTATAATAAATTTCTTCAAGAACTATTCTTATAGGAAACAAGAATTTCTTGAGGAAGAGTAGTGGGAGTGTTTTATTAATGAATATACTAATGCTTTATTTCACTAAGTATAACTATATTGTTTTCTAGATTGGATGTATTGGTCTACAATCATCTAAACATACAAAGGCATCAGTTTCTCCACATCCCTGCTCTATTTCTAATAATTTCTTATAATCTAGTGGATTTTAATTTCTATTTAATTTGTGTTTTTCTAATAACAACATGTTTTGAACATCTTATCATGTACCTTGTAATAGATTCTGATTTCATTTTTGGTATTTGACTACTTACACCTTCCAAACTTCACCACTCTCTCTTCATCTTCTGCGTCACATCTGGGCAGACTACAAGAAAACTCAGATGCTCTCTCCGTTAGTGCGAGTGGGAAGTTGCTCTGTATCAGTCAGCTTAGCACCATCCCCAAACTACTATAAAAAACCCAAGCCAGTGTCCTTTTCTCTCATAAGCCACTTTTAGACCTGCTTGGGAGCTTTCCCTTCAAAAGCCTCATTAAATGGGTAATGAACTTTTTCATATCTTATTGGTTATGTGTCAAATCATCACTCTTGACATCTGAACCAAATTTGGTGTGGGAGTCCATTGCTCCTCTGCAGGTGACTTAACAGTTTGTTTAGTAAGCAGGATCTTTGGATGATGACCACCACCAAGGGGGTCTTTCTCCTCTTGTTCTCTGGTTTTACTGCCTGCTGCTGAGTACATACTTTGAGCTGTGCTACTTTATGCTACATTTGCTGATTCCCACAAGTCTGTGTCATATATTTAACCAATTGAGTTGGAAGTTATAGTTGGTATTCTAGGACAGATGTAAAGGACTAGGCCCTCCTTAAAGTGGCTTAAGACCTATGTATGTGTCTCAAATTGAATCATTTGTCTCAGTTCTGGAATAAGCCATGACTAACACCAGAATTAAGGAAACAGATCAGATTGACTCTCATTGTATAATGCTCTCAGGGAAACAGTTGATACCTTATGCATATAAGGGTCCATCAGGCAGCTACTTGTGTGAAGGAAGAGCAGTTACAATGCAGCATACTAAAGCAAGTGGCACACCTTTCTAAATGTTGTCATATTTTATTGTTGTTTATTGTTTTAGTGTTGTCATATGTTTGCTTTTCCCTGTGACTCATCTTCTCAAACAATTCTTTATGCTCTTTCTACTAGTTTTTCTCTTTTATAAAGTTATCATTTAGATGCCCTCCTCCTTTTACTTTCCAGTGAAAAGTAAAACCTAAAACCATGTCTAAATTTACTTATGCTTGAATTATTCTAACCCTGTTTTGATGTGCTGGTTCTTCTTAAAAAAATTTTTTTCCTAGGTTCTACTGGTTAAAATATTGTGCTTATCTTGTCGTAGCTATATGATGCAAAGTATTACCTAACATATGAGAAATTCTTCTCTCAATAGATTAATAAACTAAAGGAAGAACATGCCTCATATTTGCAATTCACATTTATCTTTGTTTAGTTTCTATAATCATGTTTGCTTCATTTTAACATTTTCTTTAATTATTCCCCTGTATCTGACCCTTTATTTTCTGATCTGTCTGCCTATTCAGATAATCTACATATTTGCTCTCATGTTTCACTTACTTCTTTTATTGGACCTATTACAGCATACGTTGCTTTTTCCCTTTTCTAACTCTCTGACCCACAAAAACAGAAAGAAAATGACATTAATTGGAATGACAACAGAGTCTTTTACCTATTTCAAAAATGTTTCTCTAGAGAATATTTAGTGAAATTAAATTCTTTAGGTGATAGGCAGAAGCAGTTATTGTGCTCTATTTCAGAGGGATTTGAAATTTTTTCTGCTAAGAGTAATTTGAAGGACCAATAATTGTAATTGGAAAGGGAAGACAACTGAAAGAAATGTTTAAAATTTAAGCCTTTGAGCATTAAGCATTTATTATTGTGCACATCTATGCTGATTAAATATGACTTTGTAAGGCTCAGAATATCTGTGTTTATTTTTAAGTTAAGAGAAAAGAGAGCCTTCCTAGAGTTTTTCTGAGGTTTGAAATTCATTTTCAGAGCATAGAACCCTAAATGATCCATGAAGGAAATGAATTTTGAAAAGGAATAAAGGATCAGGAAAAGGAAGCTTAGTGGAGAAAAGGAAAAGAATATATGTTTAGATTCAGTAATAAAATAGACTTTAGTGACTGGTGGAAAGTTAGCTTATATACATTCATTTTTTTTGACCTGAATTATGACTTTGTATTTTATTGAATTGGTAATTCAGTTTGTGACAGAAGAATTATGAATAATTAAACTTTTTACCACAGGAGCAAATTTTTTACATTGAACATCATCGATAGTAATGTAAATGCTGTCAGGCATAGCAGTGGGTTTATAAGCTAAAGAAAGTGAAAAATTGCAAAAGATGAAAGCCATGTTTAGGAATCTAATATTAGAGGTCCTCAGGCTTAATAAAAACATTAATATGTGTGAGTAAAACTGTAATGTGTGCTAAGTCACTTCAGTCATGTCCAAGTCTGTGGAACCCCATGGACTGTATAGCCCATCAGGCTCTGTCCATGGAATTCTCCAGGCAAGAATACTGCAAAGGGTTGTTGTTTCCTTCTCCAGGGGTTCTTCCCAATCCAAGGATTGAACCCACATCTCTTAAGTCTCCTGGATTGGTAGGTGGGTTCTTTACCACTAGCGCCAGCCACATGGGAAGCTCAAAAATATAAAAGTTAAAAGAATGTGTTTGGGGATATTACAAACATTATAAGGTCCTGGAGATAGAATGAAATGGATACAAGGTTAGACTGTGTCTATATTAAAGAGTAATCTGATTTTTATATAGGTATTTACTGAGAATCTACTATGTCTTTATTTATTTTTACTTTATTTTGTTTTACTTATTTTTTTACTATGTCTTAAAAAAGTTTTTTTTTTTAATTGAAGGATAATTGCTTTACAGAATTTTGTTGTTTTCTGTCAAGCCTCAACATGAATCAGCCATAGGTATACATATATCCCCTCCTTTTTGAACCTCCCTCCAATCTCCCTCCCCATCCCACCTCTCTAGGTTGATACAGAACCCCTGTTTGAGTTTCCTGAGCCATACAGCAAATTCCCATTGGCTCTCTATTTTACACATGGTAATGTAAGTTTCCATGTTACTCTTTCTATACATCTCACCCTCTCCTCCCCTCTTCCTGTGTCCATAAGTTTATTCTCTATGTCTGCTTCTCCATTGCTGCCCTGTAAATAAATTCTTCAGAACCATTTTTCTAGATTCTGTATATATGCTTTAGAATACGATATTTATCTTTCTCTTTCTGACTCACTTCACTCTGTATAATAGATTATAGGTTCATCCACCTCATCAGAACTGACTCTGCTATGTGTTATACACTATTCCACCGTTGGGGATATTAGTGATTCTTATTGTAGGTAAGAATGGTATAATGGAGTAAAACCCACCTCCTGTCATTGATAGACCCCAAGAAACAGTGACTTAGAGAACATAAACATTAACCTGCCCTGGATTTAGCCTAAGGGCTGTAGTTTTCTAATCTTTTGTCTCGGGCATCACCAGCAACAGAGAACTGAGCTATCAAGTCTGTAATATAGCCAGTAGGAAGAGAGTTATGGAAGACACACTTACTTCCGTAAAACATTGACCTGATTACAACAAATATAATTCCTGCCCTCATTTGAATGGTGATAAGTGAATTACCTGGATTTACCTACAAATGAGGCTGTATATGCCTGTTGTTTTGAGACAGACACATGCTTGGCTACAAGCTTAACACTGTTGAAGGAAGGGGACAGATTTTAATGAAAAGCTTCTGTCTCTGCTTCAGAGTTGGCCCTTTTTGCTGTTATATTCTTCCTTATTAAATGTATGTATCTGCACCCCAAAACCATGCATAAAGATTTGAATCATAGATATATATTTACTGTTTGTAATGGTAAAGCTAATTCAGGATGACTGAGGCTATGATAGATTTCTGTATATAAATAAATTTGTATTTAGGGCACAGTGGTTGATAGGGAATAGAGAAAAAAGAGAGATTAGGATTTATAGATGAAGGATAATAAGAATCTAGACTCATATTTTTTAGCCACATGGTTTGTCACTTTGTTCTTCTAACACCTATTATGTAGTTCTGCTACATGTTCAGAACAGCATATTTCAGTTTGAATGTCGTCTTCTCCAATTACTAAGCATTTGATTTGGGCACATTACTTAACTCTTCTGTGGCTCAGTTTCCTCATCTGTAAAGTAGGACAATAATAACATTAATAGCAAAAGGTTATGTTGATGTTTAAATGAGTTAGAACAATGCCTGAAACATCTAAATTCTATTGTTTATCAGACAGTAAATGTAATGTAAGGCCTTATTTTATTATTGCATATTATTTCATATAAAGAGATTATTATATATATTTATTCTCATTTTATATATTTATCTATATTTGTTATTACATTTATATAGAACCTCTCCCATTTCTCTGTGTTCACCTTGTATCCATTCTATCATCCCTTCTGTGTTTTGCTAACTGTTCTTTGTGTATTTTATTTTTTAGATCAGGATATTGGTTTTGGAACATCACAACAGGGAATATCTGAAGATGTTTCAGTCTGGTTTGAGGGAATACGTCTCTTCCCAAGAGATGACCTATATTCCATTTTAGAAGAATTTTGGCAAGATGATAAACAGACAAGAAGAGAAAAGGAAAACCAGAACAAACATTTAAGTTCTATCATCTTCACCAACAAGGATACACTAGTTAATAAGGGGAACTGTGACTATAATAAAGACATTGGGAAAAAATTTCATGTAAACACAAACCTTGTTCCTTCGAGAAAAAGACTCCATAACTGTAACTCATTTCAAAAGAGTTTGAAGCCTATTGTAAGCTTATGTAATTGTAATAGAAACAGTGCAACAGAAAATTTTGATAAGATTATTGGATATGTTAATACTTTTACTCGTATGAATTCTCATACAGAAATGAATGCTTGTGAATATAATCAATGTAAGAAACTTCTGAGTAAGCAAGCTCTCATTCAGCATCAAAAACATCATACTGGGGAGGACTTCCATTTATTTTCTGATTGTGTAAAACTCTCCACCCATAAGACACACCTTTTTGCACATCAAAGGATTTATACTGAAGAGAAACATCATGAGTGCACCCAATGTGAGATGATCTTCACTCAGAAGTCCCAATTTGCTGTGCCTCAGGTTTATATAAGAGAAAAACCCTACGTAGGCACTGAATCTGGGAAGAAATTTTCCAACTCAAACCATGAGAAAACTCCTCATACTGAGGAGACTGACTATAAATGCAGTGCACATGGAAAAGCCTTTATCAAGAAGTTAGATCTTTTCAGACTCCAGAAAATTCCTACTGGAGGAAAAAACCCCTATGATTATAGTGAATGTGGAAAAAATGTCTCTCACAATTCAAATCTCAGTATACACAAAAAAGCTCATACTGGCAAGAAGCACTTTGAATGTATTGAGTGTGGAAAATCTTTCACAAGAAAATCAACACTAAGTATGCATCAGAAAATTCACACAGGAGAAAAACCATATGTATGTACTGAATGTGGGAAAGCCTTTATCCGAAAGTCACATTTTATTACACATGAGAGAATTCATACTGGAGAGAAACCTTATGAATGCAATGACTGTGGGAAGTCCTTTATAAAGAAGTCACAACTCCATGTGCATCAGCGAATTCACACAGGGGAGAATCCCTTCATATGTTCAGAATGTGGGAAGATCTTCACTCACAGGACAAATCTCATTATACACCAGAAAATTCATACTGGTGAGAGACCCTATATATGTACTGAATGTGGGAAGGCCTTTACTGACAGGTCAAATCTCATTAAACATCAAAAAATTCATACTGGAGAGAAACCCTATAAATGCAGTGACTGTGGGAAATCATTCACGTGGAAGTCACGGCTCAGGATACATCAGAAATGTCACACTGGAGAGAGACATTATGAATGTAATGAATGTGGGAAAGCATTTATTCAGAAGTCAACACTGAGTATGCACCAGAGAATTCATAAAGGAGAAAAACCCTATGTTTGCACTGAATGTGGGAAGGCCTTCTTCCACAAGTCACATTTTATTACACATGAGAGAATTCATACTGGAGAGAAACCTTACGAATGCAGTGACTGTGGGAAATCTTTCACAAAGAAGTCACAACTTCATGTACATCAGCAAATTCACACAGGAGAGAAACCCTACAGATGTGCTGAATGTGGAAAGGCTTTCACGGACAGATCAAATCTCTTTACACACCAGAAAATTCATACTGGTGAGAAACCCTATAAATGTGATGACTGTGGAAAAGCCTTCACTCGAAAGTCAGGCCTCCATATACATCAGCAGTCTCACACTGGAGAAAGACATTATGAGTGCAGTGAATGTGGGAAAGCCTTTGCACGAAAATCAACACTCATTATGCATCAGAGAATTCATACAGGAGAGAAACCTTATATTTGTACTGAATGTGGGAAGTCATTCATCCAGAAGTCACATTTAAATCGACATAGGAGAATTCATACTGGAGAGAAACCCTATAAATGCAGTGACTGTGGGAAGGCCTTTATTAAGAAGTCACAACTACTTGAACATCACCGAATTCACACAGGAGAGAAACCTTATATGTGTACTGAATGTGGAAAGGCCTTCTCCATCAGATCAAATCTTATTAAACACCAGAAAATTCATACTAAACAGAAACCTTATAAATCTATTGACTTTAGGAAAGACTTTAACTGGAAAACACAATTCAGTGTACATCAGAAATCTAATACTGAGGGAGTAGAATGCCCGGTGCCACAATCATGGGGTAGGGATACAAAGTTGTGAGGAGATATAGCTTGACTAAAAAGCAAGAGGTAACCAAAGTAAATTTTCCTCTATCTAGTCAGAAGTATGAATATCTGGATCTCATAGCTTATGTCCAGTTTTATACATATGGGCAGACACTTTGGAGAAAGTGTTTAAGCAGTGATTAATGGCATTCTTGTTTACCTGACAGATACTGGGATTTTTAAGCACCTGCAAATAATAGTACATGTGTAAGGAGATGACTTGGCAATAGTTCTTATTTCATGTTTTGGATAAGCAGTTTTATAAATCAGGGCTGTTGAGTTGTTCATGCCCTATATAGCAAAAATATTCAATGATGACCAAAGGAATTTCTTGAGTAGATTTCCAAGAAAAATTTTCATTGTCCAAGCACTCTATGGACACTGAAATCAAGGCAACAGTATAGACAATTCAGATGTATAGTAAAAAGAATCTAGAAGTTTCTGTGAAAATTGACATTAAAGATACAAAGATGGACTCTACTTTTTTCTTTTCTTTGGGATGTCACTATTATTTATAGTTTACAATGTTTATTAGTGTATGGAAATTTGGATAAATAAGTTTAAAATTTATAATTTGATTTTGAGATTGGCAAAAACCACAGGCTTACCTGAATATTCACAGGCATCTTTCGATAACTAACATGTTTCCTTGTTTATTAATTCCCTACCATGGCAGTAGGTAACTCATGTCCAAGAGGTAACAAGTGCTCCCAGACTATATCCCAAAAGTGATCAATAATGTAAGCAGCAGCCCCAAAGATTATCTACTACACTATAACTGGTTTTGAGATCATGAAAGTTAGCCACAGGTTACTGATTAGGCACTCTGGATTCTCACAGTCTTTTACAGAAACCTCTACTTTTTAAATGATTTCTTTTTCTAGAGACAAATTAAGAAAGTGAGTTTTAAAACCTAGAATTCTTTCCTTCCAATTTTGTTAATGCATTCTCTACTTATTTATTACATACTAAGTTTGTTGTGGTTGTTGTTCACTCATGTCCCACTCTCTGCAACTCCATGGACTATAGCACACCAGGCTCCACTCTCTCCCATTATCTCCCAGAATTGGCTAAAATTCATATCCATTGAGTTGGTGATGCTAGCTCACCATCTCTGTCAACCCATTCTCCTTTTGCCTTCAATCTTTCCAGCATCAGGGTCTTTTCCAGTGAGTCAGCTCTTCATATCAAGTGACCAAAGTACTAGAACTTCAACTTCAGCATCAGTCCTTCCAATGAATCTTCAGGGTTGGTTTTCTTTAGGATTGACTGGTTTGATCTCCTTGCTGTCCAACGGACTCTCAAGATTGAATCTTCTCCAGCACCATAGTTCAAAAGCATCAATTCTTTGGTGCTCAGTCTTTTTTATAGTTCAACTCTCGTATCTGTACATGACTACTGGAAAAACTATAGCTTTGACTAAGCAGACAGTTGTTGGCAAAGTAATGTCTCTGCTTTTTAATATGCTGTCTAGGTTTGTCACAGCTTTCTTTCCAGGAGCAAGTGTCTTTTAATTTCATGGTTGCAGTCACTATCTGCAGTGATTTAGGAGCCTAAGAAAATAGAACCTGTCATTGCTCTCACTTTATCCCCTTCTAATTGCCATGAAATGATGGGATGGGACAAGATACCATGATCATAGTCTTTTGAATGTTGAGTTCAAGCTGGCTTGAAACCTCTTTCACCCTCATGAAGAGGCTCTTTAGTTTCTCTTCACTTTCTGTCATTAGAGTGGTATCATCTGCATATCTGAGATTGTTGGTATTTCTCCAGCCAATCTTGATTCCAGCTTGTGATTCATTCAGTCTGGCATTTCACATCATGTACTCTGCATGCATATGAGTTAAATAAGCGGGGTGACAACATACAGCCTTGTCACACTTCTTTCCGAATTTTGAACCAATTGTCCCATGTCTGGTTCTAACTTGCTTCCTGGCCCACATACAGGTTTCTCAGGGGACAGGTAAGGTGGTCAGGAAATTCCATCTCTTTAAGAATTTTCCAGTGTGTTGTGTTGTGATCCACACAAACAAAGGCTTTAGTGTAGTCCATAAAGCAGGAATAGATGTTTTTCTGGAATTCCCTTGCTTTCTCCATGATCCAATGGATGCCAGTGATTTGGTCTCTGGGTCCTCTACTTCTTTGAAACCCAACTTGTACATCTGGAAATTCTCAGTTCATGCATTGCTGAAGCCTAGCTTGAAGGATTTTGAGCATAACCTTAACTAACTTGTGAAATGAGTACAATTGTATCATAGTTTAAACATTGTTTGGCATTGCCCTTCTTTGTGATTGGGCTAGATGGTAAAGAATCTGCCTGCAATGCAGGAGACCCAGGTTTCATCCCTGGGTTGGGAAGATCCCCTGGAGAAGGGAAGGGCTACCCACTCCAGTACTCTTCTCTGGTGAATTCCATGGACAGAGGTGGACTACAGGCCATGGGGTTGCAAAGAGTCAGACATGGCTGTGCAACTGACACTTTCATACACACTTTCTTTGTGATTGGAATAAAAGTTGACCTTTTTCAGTCTTATGGTCACTGCTAAGTATTCCAAATTTGCTGAAATATTGAATGCAGCACTTTAACAGCATCCTCTTTTAGGATTTGAAATAGCTCAGCTGGAATTCTGTCACTTTCACTAGCTTTGTTTATAATAATGCTTCCTAAGGCCCACTAGAGTTCACACTCCAGGATGTCCTGCTCTAGGTGAATGACCACACCATTGTGATTATCCAGGTCATTAAGACCTTTCTTGTATGGTTCTGTGTATTCTTGCCACCTCTTAATCTCTTCTGCTTCTGTTAGGTCCTTACCTTTTCTGTCCTTTATAGTGCCCATCTTTGCATGAAATGTTCCCTTGATATCTCCAGTTTTGTTGAAGAGATCTCTAGTCTTTCCCATTCTATTGTTTTCCTCTATTTCTTTGCATTGTTCTTTTAAGAAAGCCTTCTTATCTCTTCTTGATACTCTCTGCATTGAGTTGGGTATATCTTTGCCTTTCTTGCCTTTCACTTCTCTTCTTTCCTCAGCTATTTGTAATACCTCTTCAGACAACCATTTTGCCTTCTTGCATTTCTTTGGGATTGGTGTGATCACAGCTTCCTGACAGTGTTAGAAACCTCCATCCTTAGTTCTTTAGGCACTCTGTCTACCAGATCTAATCCCTTGAATTTGCCTCCTCCATTGTATAATCATAAGGGATTTGATTTAGGTCATACTTAAATGGCCTAGTGGTTTTCCCTACTTTCTTCAATTTAAGTCTGAATTTTGCAATAAGGAGCTCATGATCTGAGTCACAGTCAGCTCCATGTCTTGTTTTTGCTGACTGTATAGAGCTTCTCCATTTTTGGCTGTATAATCAGTCAGATTTCAGTATTAATCATCTGGTAGTGTCCATGTATAGAGTTGTCTCTTAGGTTGTTGGGAAAGGTGTTTTCTATGACCACCGTCTTCTCTTAATAAAACTCTGTTAAGCTTTTCCCTGCCTCCTTCTGTGCTCCAAGGCCAAACTTGCCTGTTATTCTGGTTATCTGTTGACTTTCTACTTTTGTATTCCAGTGCCCTATGATAAAAAGGACATCTTTTTTGATATTAGTTTTAGAAGATCTTGTTGGTTTTCATAGAATCTGTGAACTTCAGCTTCTTTGGCATTAGTGATTGAGGCATAGCCTCGTATTACTGTGATGTTGAATGGTTTTCCTTGGAAACAATGGACATCGTTCTATCATTTTTAAGGCTGCACCCAAAATGCAGACTGTTCTGTTGACTGTGAGAGCTACTCTATTTCTTCTTCCTGTCCATTTTAGTTCACTGATTCCTAAGGTGTCGATGTTCACTCTTGCCATTTCCTGCCTGACCATGGCCAATTTATCTTGATTCATGGACCTAACACTCCAAGTTGCTATGCAATATTTACTGTTCTTACAGCATTGGACTTCACTTTCACCACCAGGCTCATCCACAGCTGAGCATGGTTCCTCTTTTGGCCCAGCCATTTCATTCTTTCTGGAGCTATTAGTAATTGCCCTGTGCTTTTCCCCTACAGCATATTGAACACCTTTTAACCTCGGGGACTCATCTTCCCATGTCATACCTTTTTGCCTTTTCATACTGTCCATGGGGTTCTCTGGTAAGAATACTAGAGTGAGTTGCCATTTTCTTCTCCAGTGGACTGTGTTTTGTCAGAACTTTTCACTATGACTCATCCATCTTGGGTGGCTCTGCATGGCATGTTTCATACCTTCATTCAGTTATGCAAGCCCCATCATCACGACAATACTGTGATCCATGAAGGGGACATATTAGGTTACTATGAGGCAATTGTCTTGCATTTGAACTTGTGTTCTTAGAAGAAAGTTGCACATTTGAAAGAGTATTCCTATCTCCTCTTAATCTCTACAAATTGATCTTAATTAATTTCAATCTCAAATCCTCTATTTTTTTTTTTAACTCTTTTGGGTCTTTTATTCTATTAGGTACTGAATGAAGTGTGTTCTAGTCTTCCAGAGTAATTGTGACTCTGTTTCTCCTTATAGCTACCAATTTTCATTTTATATATTTTAAGTCTTTGGTTCTACATCTATTTACATTTAGACTTGTTATACTCTTTCTGGTTAATTGAAACAATCATTATAAAATGTTCCTTTTTATCTCTAGTCATGTTTTTGTCTCAAATTTTACTATGTATGATATTAATACAATATGCATACTTCACTTATTAAGGACTGATGTAAATTAGTACTCACCATTTTCTTTGTAAGATGAATAGAACATTGTTATTTCCTTTTTGACTTATATAGTATTGATGTCATGCATTTTAATTTGTATATATTTGACATGTTCAGTCATTACTATTTCATTAATCATTACTGTTTCAATATTCATTTAAATTAATGCATATATTTACACTTTTTGTTACTTATCTTATCCTTTAATTTCCCTTCTTGAATCTTTTTTCTTCTGACTGAACAAGAGCCTTTACTATTTCTTTTAGT